AAGGGAATCAGGATTCTGAACTTTCATCATTTTATTTAGTTTTAGGTAATTAATGACTTTGCGTTTTCTCAGTGTGTAATGTGATCAAACAGCTATATGTACAGAACTGTCCTTTAAGAAAGGATAAAACACGACATAGTGATCATCTACTATGTGTCCAATATGTCTAATCTTTACACCCACATTGCCACTAAGGTAAAGATTAGTATCTCCATTTCACAGATAAAGAAATTGAAGCTCAGAAAAAGTTAAAATGTTTGTTCAAGTCCACACAGACAGTAAACACTGGATATATCTCTTAACCTAGTGTCTATTGGACAATCAGTCATCAGTTTTGGGGGCACATCTAGTGACTTCCCTCCCCCCTTTTTTAAGCCCAGTCTTTCCTGCCCATCATGTTCCACTCGTGCTCCCCAGATGTGACGCAGTTAGGACACACTTCTATGAGCAGTCACTGTGTGTCACTCAGATTCAAAAATACTATACACGAAGCCTCCTTACTCACAAAGGTTAGTGAATGTTCCAAATCCTGGGAAAATGAACAAAATCTTGCTGGCTGTAGATTCCTAAGCGTTTGTCAACAAAATCCAGCTCTAAGCTATGTTTTGAGCATACAGACACAATCCAGTACCTTTATGGTTTGAGACAAATTTCACAATCCTTTTTGCTTTTGAAAGTTGTATTTTATTCAATTACAGGATGGGAACATGATGTTCAAAGTCATGAATTTAGAGCATAAGTGGAAAAACTTCTCTTCAAACCTCACTTATGCACACATCTTCCTGAAGATATTTTTATGGCAATTTGACTGCTTCAAAAAGTATAGAAGAGAAGCAGGATTTTTTATGTTGATAATTTATTAATCATTTTGTACCTAATAATTGGGTCAAACAGTGTCAGATCATACTCCTTGTTAGTTAAAAGATTATCAGCCAGAAGAATCGAAATGGTATGGTAGAAAGAACATGAGTTCTGGGGTTAAACAGTCTCCAGTTAGAATCTTTGTTTCTTCTGTACTTACTAGCTCTGTGACACCAAATTGCTTGTCTTCTCTGTGCCTCTTTTTCTTCAGTCTTAAAATAACAATAACAACATATATCCTAAGGGCTTGCTGTATGTAACAGAAATTATATATAAACTTCTAGGAACATAATAAACATTATTATTCAATTGGGTGATGGTATTTGTAATTTTGGATGGTTTTTAGTAGTTGAGAATGAAGGAAATAAGGGGACAGTGACAACACGGGTTCTCTACCTTCTCCACAATTCAGAGTGTTTATTAGGGTATGGATTCACCTGTACAGGAGGACAGTAGCAAAACCGGGAAATTCTGGGTCCAGGGGAAGATGAGATGAGAAGAAACAAGCTTCAGTTGAGCACCTAGTAAGTGTCAGGGGCTTCACCAATGTTAATTTTCAGAACAACCTAAGAGGCAGATATTATTTTCCCTGAGGTTCAAAAAGATCAACTAACTTACCTAAGATCACACAGTGAGTTACTGAGCAGATTTTCTAACTTGTCAATATCATGGACTTTGTAGACCAGTCACTGTCCAGAACTCTGCCTTTCAAGATACTGGGTCATTAAGTATGAAATATCCGATTTCCTTAAGTACTAAGTTTGACAGTTGATATCTCTGACGTTTGCCTTTGATACTTCTTGTTTTGTTTTCTTTTTTCCTATTGTAAAGGTACATCCTCAGTCTTTTCAAATGCATGTTTTGGCTTGTGATTATCTTTTACATTTTTGAGAGCAATTTTTGTGAAACCATGGATAAGTCAAAAATTAGTGTTATTTTCAAATATGAGTTCTGTGACGGAACCAATGCACTGCAGACAGATAGAAATATCGTCGAAGTGTTTGGGAAGGATGTGGCTAATGAACATACAGTATGTTGATGGTTTGAGAAGTTCAATTCTGGTGATTTTAATTTTGAAAGTGAGCCATGTGGGTGACCTGAGACCAACGTGGATAATGATGAGCTGAAAACCATAGTGGAAGCGAATCCATCTCAACCTATGCATGAATTAGCAGCAAGGTTTGACGTTAGTATTCCAACAATATTGGACCATTTGAAACAAATTAGCAAGGTAAAGAAGCTGGACAGATGGGTACCACATGAATTGAACGAGTGTCAGAAAAGAAATCATCTCAGAGCTTGCCTTTCTTTGCTGTCACGACATAAAGGTGAACCATTTGTACACTGTATTGTTACATGTGATGAAAAATAGATTCTTTTAGACAATTACAAGCATTCAGCACAATGGTTGGGTAAAGATGAAGTGCAAAACACAGTCCAAAATCGAATATTCATCAAAAAAAAGCTAATGGTGTCTGTTTGGTGGTCCAGGGCTGATATTATCCACTACAGCTTCATGGAACCTGGTCAATCGATTACAGCGGATGTCTACTGCAACCAATTGGACGAAATGATGAGGATGCTTGTAATTAAGCAGCTGAGATTGGTCAATAGGGACAGGCTAATCCTCTTGCAAGACAAAATTTTGCAAAAAACAATGCTTCTCAAAGTACAAAAACTACTAGACTTGGAAACCCTCTGTCATCCACTATATTAACCAGACCTTGCACCAACTGACTACCACTTCTTCCAGGCTTTGGACCACTTCTCGCAAAGAAACATATTCAACTCTCAAGAAGCTGTGGAAAATGCCTTTTGTGACTTCAACACCACTCACTCTCCAGGCTTCTTCCCTGTTGGCACATACAAGCTACCATTAAGATGGCAAAACTGTGTTGATAGTTTAGGTGCATACTTCGATTAATTGTACTGTTTCTTGTTTGAGATACAATAAGCTAAACTTTTGATTCGAAATCAGATATTTCATATTTAATGACCTAATATTTGCAACAGGTGAAGAGACAGGCCACATCTTCACTTCCTGCAGTATAGCAGGTGATATATTCTGAAGGAGCCTTTCACCATAAAACAACTTCAGTCTTAATACAAGCTCCTTTTCAAAGTATTACTGGGTTTGTAGGAGTTAATGGAAATCTCTGGGGTTTCCCTATCTCCCCTACACTTGTACACACACACACACACACACACACACACACACTAAACTGAAACCAGATTAGGAATGAGAGAGCAGCTAGCCAAGAACAAACATCCCCCAAGGGCAGATTCTTTTGTCAGAAGGACCTTGGCAATACTAAATCTTGAGCAAACAGCAAAGCAGGGAAATTGTACCTAAGTCTCCTGCCACAAACCCTAGAAAGAGACCAAAGTAGTCCCACTGTTCCATTTCCCAGAGAAAAAAAATGATACTCCCCAGACTGACACACGCAGAACTCTTAAGATATTTTAAACACTTTAATTGAAAAGTCAAGTAAAAATGCAAAGCTTTAAAAAGCGAAATGTCAGGAATTTTGACTTTAGTTGTTTTTTTTTCCATTTTATAAATCTGAAAGGCAGAATTTTGTGGTAGTTCATAACATAGATTCTAGGATCAGACCGCCTGCCTTTGAACCACAGCACCAAGGCAAGTTGACCTTGGGCAAGTTAAACTCTTCTTGGTGGTTCAGTTTTCTCATCTGAAAAATGAGAATGATAGTATTTACCTGATGTTTATAATGAGGATTAAATAAGCTATTTTAATTTCATTTTTTGTGTATATGCAGCATTTAGAACAGTGCCTGGCCATGGTTAACATTGTAAGGATTTGTTTAACAAAATTTTAAATTATAGCACAGATGGAGATAAAGGGAGGGAAGGATCATACATTAAGTCTTTGCAGGAATTTCCACGATAGTGGAACGTTCCATGAACGTTCATGATAGTGACAGGGGTGCTCTGGGCTTTTATTCCCGTTCAGTCGTCATTTAGGAGAAACTGCTTCCTTCTGAATTACCTAAGGCCAAAGACAATTCAACCCAGATATCATTCAATTTTCTTTTGATGCTGATCCTGTAGGAAAATGTCATCTTTCGAAGGAAATCTAGCATCTAGTTACCTGTAGAGAATACTGTTTCTCCTAGTGGCAACTTGATCCTACTCTTTGCAAAGACAAGTCTAGGATTATTATAATGAAGGAGCACATACTTGAGCTGAGAATGCATCTGAGACAGGAAGGACAAAGAGTTCCACCCCCATCTACTTTCTAAGCCTCATATTTCCCTTGGTTTCAGCTCATTCCACTGAGTCAAAAATTATCATCTGACTTGAAATGCACTTGACCATTTCTTAGAACTTGAGTATATCAATCGGCAATCGTCTACCAATAAGTTGAAAACAGAAGCATCCCACAAACCCATAAGCTATTAGTGAGAGCTCTATGGTGTATACAACCCAGAAGATAGGAGGACTGTGTGTCAGGGTAGTGGAAAAACTTCATGCGGTCCTCACTATGCATTGTGTTGTTTTTCACAATAAACCTATGAGGTGGGTACCACTCGTATTTCCTCCTAAATTTAACGAAGCTTAGATTTAATCACTTGTCAAGGTTGCACGGCAATTACATGGCTCACATTATGAGACTTGACTGAATTTTACCATAATGAGAAGTTCCCATTCATCCCTTCTCCTCTCCAGTCTGGCAGCCATCCACTGTCTCTACTCCTGGGGGTCATGTGCAGCCTAGAGAATGCTTTCCTGTCAGGACCAAGGATTCAGGTAGCCTTATGTAAGTGACTGAAAGAAATCTATGCTTTTTCTTTTCCTAGTTGCCTTATTTCTGTTCATTCCTTGGTACAGTCACAGACAGATGTGTTTTATTTAAGAGTAGGTCCAGAGTTATTTTCAAAGTACATATTCTGTTTTTCAAGAAAAAAATAGAAAACAAATACTTTCTTTCAAAGTTTTTATTTGAGCAAAAAGACATATACTTAGTTTTAGTTAAGCTGAAGAAATAATTATAATTTCTCAGTCCAAGGATGCTAGGAATCAACTTACAGAGCATTCTCCAAAAAGTGTTCTCTTGGACTTAGAAAGTATCTATTTTCAAACTTAATAGTAAAGTCAAGCAAAATCGACAATGAGTATTTTCAAAATCAAAAAAAATTTTATTTATATAATCTTTTGCCTATGGTTTGTAGATTTTACCTCATTTTATGACACATATCACTACATAGTGGTACACTGAACACATAGCAAGGGTGCCTTAAATACTTATTAAACTGAAGTGAACTGACAAGCACCATTAATTACACCATTCCTAACAATCAAACCAGCTATTGCTTTTCAGCTTTTTGGTGACACGAAGGTATACGGAATCATATTCAAATTGGTTGGATCCTTGGAAGAAATAGTAGTGTCCTGAAAATGAAAACAAATTAAATCATTTAATTCTCCTCTGAGAATTAAACATAAACATAAAAACATAGATCTGTTTTTATACATTATCTAGATTAGATGAGATGTGACTCGAAAATATAAATGTTGGGAATCCTTGGCTGTGTATCTTGCCCTCAAATATCTACCTACTGCAAGTCACACTCCAAGTGGAGAACTCAAGAGAGAGGATATTGGGCTCAAATAGGGAACACAGGGGCCCTGATAGAGGAAAAAAGACACCGGGGGAAAAATAAAAACAAAAATATCTTGGCCCAGTGACCAATTGCTTAAGCTGACCTTGCTTGAAGACACACAACATAAACCCAATCTTCTGTCATCCCACCCTCAGTCCTAGTCCATGAGGGCCTATGGGGGCAGAAAGGGCTGAAAGAAAGGTCCATGACGCAAGGTACAGGAAAGGATGAGCCTCCAGGCTCGCCCAGGTCCCAGCTGTCATGTGCACACTTGCACATACTATGCAGCTTATGTGTCAAAGGAAATTCCAGAGACTCCGGTACACAGGAAACAGCAGCCATCACATTCCCCGTGCCTACCAGACCACCCCAGGAACGCACCATCAGTGCCCCAGCCCCGCGTATTCTAGCCTGCTTTTTGGAGCCAAGCACAGTGTGTGTTTCCCCTTGGTGGCCCTACGGAGAACTGCAGAGTCCTGTCCCTTTCCAACATGGAATCCCATTCTCTGGTCTTGTTGAAAAATGCAATTTCCAGTGTCTTCACAGTTTCCTAATCTACTTACTGTTTGTAGAATAGAAGACTGCATCAATTTTAGGCCCAATTCCTGGGAAGTGCTTGGTAATAAATTTGGGATAACCAGGATCCATGGATTGTCTCCTCTCATCATACCTGAGGAAAGAAATAACCAGCAGGAAGTTGGTCAGAAAACAGATTTCATGACATGAACCATGAACCCACCTTCTTCTCTCCTGAAGGGCGATGAAGAAAATGATGAAGAAAACCAAGGACTAAACAGTTCACTGATTTCCGATTTCCTGGAGGATTCAAAACCTATCCTTCCTGACTGTGGGTAAGCCTTTTCCCCGCCACCCACAAGGCTTCCACCAGTGCTTCGTCCTGCTTTCCAGAGCCTGGCATTGAAGGGGATTTGGTACATCCCCCACTGACCAATTATTTAGCTGCCTGTCATTGCCTTCTTTTTGAAGTTTTCCACGGAGACAAAAACAACCATTTCCCCCAAGAAGATAATAGATGGGCCAATGGTTTTAAGAGCCAGGGAGCCAAAGGGTTTTAAACATATATGTCAGAGACAAATTGAAAATCAACTCTTTTACTTCCAGGCTACATAGGCAGGTCCCAGTTTCTCCCCTAAATTCTCTTGCATTGGTAAGTGAAAAAAAAGAGTTGTGTTTCTCTCTAGACTTCCAAGTGGCGACGGAATCTACTTATCTTATTTTTATTCAATTTAGTTCTCCAAGTATTGATTGCTCACTCAGCACTGGCCTTTAAGGGAAAGGAAAATCTTGGGCCACAGGGAAGCAGAAAACAAAATAGAGTCACTGGTCAGAGTTGAAATATTAATGTTAGTAATGATAAGCTATGATAAACTACATTCATTTGTGAGCTCTTCAGAAAGTCTTATTTGCTAAAATCAAAAGTTTTGTGTCTCAAACAGGACTAAGGGTTGGCGGATGAAGTCAAGTCGTAAGTCTATGGTATTCAATTGGAATTAGATGTTGAATTTTAAATGCTTAAGGAAAAAAATGGTGGTTATAATATAACCTTCCCAACGCATTCTATTATGCCTCACATCAGCCATACAAGCAATGTGGGAAATGACTAGTTTGCTCAGAAGAGGGTATAGAGGAACTGTCCTCCTTCAAAATATAGACACTTGAGGCAAGAGACAGACACTCAGCTGAGCTCCTGTCCTCACTGGACTATTTGATTTCCTCTTGGAGAACTTGCAGGCTCTCTCATGTCACTCAGAGAATGGTTTCCTCATTTTGTCTTTTGGTTCAGTGATAATGATTATGGCAAGGAGTCTGGAAATCCATACACCCTGCAAACTGACTGTAGACTACACACTAGGTCTCGTAAATCTATTACACTATTTTTCAATGTGTTTCCACTATGATTAATAATATGAAATTTTATTTAAAGAGTTCATATACATATATACACACACACCAACACACATAAAAAATGTAGTATGTCCACAAAGAGTGTAATGCGCACCACCCGAAGGATGGACATAATTGAAACTCGGACTTAGGGGGGGAGGGGGGGGAAGGGCAACATATGTAACCTAAACATCTGTACTCCCATAATATGCTGAAATTAAAAAAAATGTAGTATGTCATATATCAGAAACCAACAGTACAGAGATAAAAAGTAAGTGGACAATAACTATTTCAGTCCTATGTTCTCTTGATCCCTCTCCCGGGAAGGTGAAGGACCTTTGGGAACTTGCATTGAAGAACTACCTTCTGGAAAATCCCATTCTTTGCCTGTTTCACAAATTTTAGGGGTCAAATTACCAACCATTAAATCTCACCTCCAGTATTGGTCATCTACAAAGAAGTAGGTCTTATGAAGATGTGGGTTAAAAACAGCTGCATCAATTTTTTTTACAGCCTCAGGGAAACCCAGAGAATGTATGCTCTTGGGATAATTTGGCTGTTGTCTTAAACTGCTAAGTAGCCAGTACTTGTCATCTGTGAAGACAAACAAAAAGTGTACATTGGAATTGTACGGAAAGAGTAATAAAAATACTGACTTACTACAAATAATACTGTGCCTTTCCCACAGTTCTAAAATGTATTGCTTGTTGTTCCTACACATAGTCTATCTCCTGTGGTTCCATGTTTTTTTGCAGGTATTACCATCTTATATTTTACAAACTTTTCTCAAAAGGTATATGCATTACCAAGGTATTTAGGCTATTTTAGCTTACAGTTCAAAGCCACTGTTAATAAAATTCAGACAATTATTTTTGGTCAATGTCTATTAAAAGTAGTAATAGTTCTCTTCCTTGAAGTAGAGTCAATGGCAAAACTATACATTGGAATTACCTTTAAAAAGAAAAACTTGATTTCTGCCTTCAATTTCATAAGCAGCTTGAATGCCAGATGGCAAGGTTGGCCATAAGGAGGAAATCAAACTAACACTTGTCTCTGGTCTCTCAGGAACCTTCCACCAGAAGAATCTGACATAAAAGACATTTAACACATGTTAAAAATCACATAGACTAAAAAATCATGGAATGTGAGTGGGAAGGACCAGTAAAAAGACTCAGTGTTTCTTTCCATTATCCTCACATTCTGTTCCACCAATGTCTGTGTAGGAGCCCACAATGAAAGATCTTAATCAACTCTTTGATTATTAACAAAAATTTTAATAGGCAATTTAGAAATACCCTGGAGCTCGGAATCCATGGATCTAAGGTTCTAATCTGGCCCTACAGTCCATTCACCAGTTGTATAACCTAAAAGAAGTCACCTAACCTCAAATGTCTCAGTTTCATAATCTCAAAAATGGAGAACATTTATCCTACTTAGCAAATGTTAATCTTCCCACTGCCCCTCACCCTCATCATTACTTACTTCAATCTGTATTCCATAACAGAAGCTATAAGTCATCCTGGAATTGTCTATAATCAAGAAATCAAGGCCAGGTTCAGTGGCTCACGCCTGTAATCCTAGCATTCTGGGAGGCCAAGGCGAAGGACAGCTTGAGCTCAGGAGTTCAAGACCAGCCTGAGCAAGAGTGAGACCCCATCCCTACTAAAAATAGAAAAATTAGCTGGTTGTGGTGGCACATGTCTGTAGTCCCAGCCACTTGGAAGGCTAGGCTGACGCCATGGCACTCTATCCCCAGCAACAGATCGAGACTCTGTCTCAAAAAAAAGAGAGAAAGAAAAGAGAAGAAATCAAGTCTTTTACATAAGTACTTTTTTTACAGCCTTAGTTCCAGACTTCATCATTTTTTATCTATGATTAAAATAAACTGGCTTCTCTGCTTCCTGTCTTCTAATTCCCCAACCCAGATTCTTACTGAAAACCCATCTTTACGTACCAGTTTTCTAGTTAAAACACAAATTTAATCATACCACTCTCCTGCTTCAAAATCTTCAAGATCTCTCCATTATCTACAGAATCAAGTCTAAGTCCCTACTTACAAGTTTTATCGACTTCATTTTCCATCATTGGAAAACTATTCTCTGACCAAAAAAATCTAAGGATGGAGCCTTCAATATTGGTTAGATTTGAAAATGATCCTACCTGTCTTTAAAGAAAAAGATTTTATCTCCCACTGTAGTGACAGCATCAAAACTCAAATTGGGGTCACAGATAACTGATTTAGGATTGTCAGGATTTGGCACGGGTTGGCGTTCTTCTGGGCCTCCTGAAAATACATTTCAAGAAGCATTAGAAAAAAACCCCTGCATTTTAGTTCATAAGAGCCATTATTTTTAAAACATTGAATTTTCTTAATGAAAACCGCATCAAAATCAATTTAAGTTTTCTGTAACATTCACAGGAAGCATACAGTAAGTTTTTTTTTTTTTTTCATATGGTTGCAACAATATCATGGAGGAGAAAAATCTGATCACTTTTATTTTCCTTTTTCAGTTAGATTATTTTTTCTGTGGGCCTTCTTCCATAGGGCAACGGTATCTTGGATAACAAGAACACCAGACTTGAGGCCTCAGGTTTTGCCTCTGGCTCTGACATTTACATACTAGGTCTCTTGTCGTCATCTGTAAAATGAAGACAATATCTGTGCTACCTACTTCACAGGGTTCTTATGAAGCTCAAAAGAAAAGATATATATTAAAACTTTATCCAAATGTAGATATTATTAGGCTATTCATAGGAGTATCTTCATATGGCAAAATGATAAAGAAATTCAACCTACCGTAGAGGGACTGAATGCCACGTATGTCGTCAGCAGAGAGGCGAAATGTGTTGAGGTCAAGATAACCATAGGTGGGAAACATTATGGCCTTTGGGTCATTGGAATGGCTGAGACCCAAGGCATGGCCAAGCTCATGAACAGCAACAAGGAACAAGTTTGTGCCTGGGAGGAAACCAACCGAAAGGGATAAAACAGTGAATCCATTGTCACCATCTAGACAATAACACAACATCTGACACAGTGAAAAAGAAACATTTGGACACGCTTTACTTACTTCCCCACCCTCTTGAACAGGGTTTCTCAACCTCAGCACTACTGATGTTATAATCCAGAGGATTCTTTGTTGCCTGGGCTTTCCTGTGCATTACAGATGTTTAGAAATCTCTGGATTTACCACTAAATGCAAGTAGCACATCCCCCTTTAGTTCTGACAACCAAAAAATGTCTCCAGACATTGTTAAATGTACCCTTGGGCGTAAAATTACCTCCGGTTAAGGACCATTGCACCAACAGACAAATGAAATATATTCTGTTGTGAAAAATTCTATAATAATTAATGGCTGTGTTCAACAGTTTTCATTGCTTCTAAATCATTCTCAACTCCCATGACTCCATTATGTTTTTACTCTTGATCAGGCTTCAGTGGATACAGAAAAGTCTTTAGTAACCATCCTTTCCTAAACCCAAATATAAGGCTATCATTAAGTTTCAGGTACTGTGAGTCACTGAGAAATGTAACATGTTATGTCTAATTCTTACACAACTGAAAGAAAGCCACCATGCTCTTCATTTACAGATGAGGAAATAGCATCAGTAAGATTAATTGACCAAATTAAGAGTTTGAGCCACGATTCAAATCCAAATTTCTTGTCTCTAAAGCTGATGCCTTTACTACACATGATTCTAAATAAAATTAAAGTGTACGCTTATAATTTAGACATGTTTAGACTACCAAATTATAGTCATGCTTGTTCATTTTTTCTGCATGTCCTAGAGAATGCACCTTTGTAAGTAAGAGAGGGGAGAGGGGCATATTTCTTCTCCCAAATTTCCCAAGAAATTTATAAACTCCTGAAATTTTTTTGTATTCTAGTCCGATGTCTTCATTTTTTTCTTTCTTTTTCTAAGACAAAACTGTAGCTCAGAAGAACTGACTTGCCCAGAGTTATACACCACTTAGCTACAGAGCCTAGCCTTAAAGTACTCTCTAGTACCCAAGTTCAGTCCTGCAACTAACTCAGAGATACTTTCGTTTCTTCTCGTAAATATTAATAGAAAAAAGAAGAGCTCAGTTGTTCTCTACACTCTGCATAAGACTGGGAAAAGTAAGCAAAGCTTTTATAATGTGGCCTAAATCTAAATTTATTTTATTCCAAATTCCCACAATACTCCTACAAACCACCACCATTGGTCCTCATCTCAAAATAATGGATTTCGGTTTGTGTTCTGTCTCCCACTAGATTGTGTGCTCAAGGGTAATATTGTGTCCTTTTCACTTTGAATTCAAACACCCCAATCACCCAAAATCATAACAGAAACTCAGCAAACATTGACCTAATTCTTCATTTAATTTACTGGGTCAAAAAATAAGAATGAGAATGAGCATTCTAAGAATTTTTCTAAATAACTTTTTGAAAGCATAGAATCAAGCCAATTAAAAAATAAGGCAACATGGACAGATAGAAAGCATACACTGGGCTAAGAAATGCGTGTCCCTGACCAGCTTTTCTACAAACTGCCACTAATGTCTTGGTCTTAATTACTTTTCTAAGGTCCATTGAAATTCCAAAACATTCTTTGAGACTAACTAGCACAAGTCTCTCATTTCAGGTGAAGAGATTGCAATCCCCAAATAAGCTCAGATAAAATTTAGACACATTTAACATGTCTGGCTGAGGATTTGCAATTCAGCAAGTACCTAATCCTGCATAATCTGTCTTTTGACAATACAAAAGTCCTCTTCTCATCAAAAATTTTGTAAGTCTTAGGCTATGTGTCAGACTAGAACAAATAGCCCTGTGGTGGACATAGTATCTATAAAAATATTGCTATTGAATGCATGCAATATCAGCCAGAGAGAAGGGGCTGCTGAGTAGAGAATATCCTTGATGACTTTCTCCCCACTTACTTTCCACATAAGGGAGTCATACAATATAGAATTTGCAACAGAAAGATTAGGAAGGCTTCTGATGTGATGGTTGGAATTTCCCCAAATAACAGGAGAGCTTAGTTAGCCTCGCCCCAACTGTCCGAGGGGGATGGTGAGTTACAGTGCCTCTGCAAATGCACCCAAGGTGTTAAATGATCAGTTGCTCATTCTGAAAGATGACATGAGCATATAATCTTGTGTTTCTCTATACAGATCTCTAGGTTCTCCGTAGTCTTATCATTCTGTGTCACTATGAATCTAAGAAATTGTCAGCATATCATGAATCATAGAGATTACAATCTTATCCTACAATTTTTGGCACACATAGAATTAGTAATTGTGTTTACTTTTGACTTTATGGATTTCACTGTCAAAAAATTATCACCTAAATGACAGCTTTTATCTTTTCATACTATTGTTCTCAAGGTTCCTCTAAATTTATGCCAACGAACTAGTTCATAGCTCATAGAATCCTCAAAGATTCTTAGAGCTGATCTTTAAGATAATCTAATCCAATACCCTCAATTTATAGCAGGTGAAATTGAGACCCAAAGTATTAAATTTGATTTAGAGGCAAAATTATGATCAGAACAAGTTTTTCCATCATGTAATCATTTTTCAGATACAATCTTTCAAAGTCAGGATATAATTTAGAATTTGACAGGGTTTTTGTTGTTTTAGTTTTTTGTTTGCTTGGTTTTTTTGGCCTACCTCTGGAATTTTTAGTCCAGATTTCAGCCTCATCAAAATGTGTGTCTCCTCCAATACCAGCTCCAGGTCCAAAGGCGTGGGCTATGACTCCACCTCTGCCGTCAAAAGCACTATAGTCTCCATGAGCTTTTAAAAGAGGAAAGATAATTAGTTCTTCTATACATCCTGTAGATCATGCCAAATGTCACAGATGAAATCCAAGTTCCTACCTCCACGTGCAAAAAGTATCATAATGTCAGCCTCCCCTGTGTTAATCTTTCTGAATTTCAGGGGGGTCACATTACTCCATACTTGGAAAGCTTTCTGGATGGCATAGTCAATATCCTCACGCCTCATGTCAGGAGTGTAATTATTGATTCTTTATCAGCAAAGAGAAAAACATATGAAACCATGGGTTAATTATGCCTTAGCACAATATTCATTTTTGCTAGCACCATTGGAAGAGATATCACTTCATAAATCAAGTTCAGACAAGAAAAACTTGCTTCATTAAGTATAGAAACCATTTTCCTTGGACAGCTTCCTCCTTAACCAAAATCTAACGTAATTTCTTTTGCTTATGACTTACAGGTCACCCCTGTGAAGGATTTACTTTCACAGAAGCTTATGCCTTCGGCTCCTGCTCCCAGACTTCTGTATTTATCCATCATGACTACTCTATAAACATTCTCCTGTCTCTTATTTACAGTATGTTCAGCTTCACTCTCCTTTTAGTCACAACTTTTCTTTTCTTTCTTTCTTTTTTTTTTTTTTTTTTTTGAGACAGAGTCTCACTCTCTTGCCTGGGCTAGAGTGCCGTGGAGTCAGCCTAGCTCAGCAACCTCAAATTCCTGGGCTCAAGCGATCCTCCCACCTCAGCCTCCCAAGTAGCTGGGACTACAGGCACGTGCTACTGTGCCCGGCTAATTTTTTCTATTTTTAGTTGTTTGGCTAATTTCTTTCTGTTTTTAGTAGAGACAGGGTCTCGCTCTTGCTCAGGCTGGTCTCGAACTCCTGAGCTCAAGCAATTCTCCCGTCTCGGTCTCCCAGAGTGCTAGGATTACAGATGTGAGCCACTGTGCCTGGCCTTAGTCACACCTTTCCTGCTCTGCTCTGGACTGGCAAGCCAAACAGCTCTTCCTCAAGTAAGCAATCCTCATTTCTAGAGATAATGAATTTTAACACAGAGATAGCGTTAACAATTGAGGGAGGCTACTTAGCCACTTTCAGATTTAGGGCTATATCTAAATGGTTCCGGTTTGAAGTCAGACCTATGGGAAAGTGGAAAAATGCATGACAACATACACCTACGTTACCTGTAGGTGATGTGACGTTTCTTCCACACTGGCCTCCCTGGCATGGTGCTGAAATGATGAATGTCAGGCACTCCACATCGCGGTGTGTGCATCATTTCCAGAGTAGATGTGTCCAGTTGCCCGGTCACTTGGAGCCCCAAGAACTGCTGCATTTCCCGGATTTTTTCCTCCATGAAGTTTCTGTTGAGTTTCATTTTTGGCATTGTCTCCATCTCAAGGCCATAAAATTTTTCTAAGTACATCTGGAAAAAAATACATTCAGTAATGCATGCCTATACATGAAAAAGTTTCTCCTGGAAGCTCCCCCCGTGTATGACTCAACCACATATTAATGCTTTTGAACCAGGAATTTTGGACATCTTTTTTTTTTTTTTATTTCAGCATATTATGGGGGTACAGATGATTAGGTTACGTATGATGCCCTTGCCCTCCCTCTCCCCCAAGTCCGAGTGGACATCTTAATCACAGGTTAGATTATTGTTGTTTGGATAATTAATTATAATGAGGAAAAAAAATCTTAATTTGTGCCATCAAAGACGTCACAAATTATTAGCAAACGATTTCCTGGAAGCTCAGTGTAAATACCTTTATGTTTCTACTTCTTCAAACTCGTTTCTACTCTCTGAAAGCTATTTCAGGCCTGGCATGGTGGCTCACACTTGCAATCCCAGTGCTTTGGGAGGCTGAGGTGGGAGGATGAGTCCATGGGTTTGAGACTGCAGTGGACTACGATCACAAGACTGTGCTCTAGCCTGGACAACAGAGTGAGACCCTGTCTCTAAAAAAATAAAATAAATAAATATTTTTAAAAGTTTGGGATAAAAATTTCTTGCTTAGAAACCAAAAACTAAGTACAATGGGTAACTGTGGTAAATTCAATATTAAAATAATCTTAGAAAATAAGGAGATCGAACTTTTTTTTTTTTTTTTGAGACAGAGTCTCGCTTTGTTGCCCTGGCTAGAGTGAGTGCCGTGGCGTCAGCCTAGCTCACAGCAACCTCAAACTCCTGGGCTCAAGCAATCCATCTGCCTCAGCCTCCCGAGTAGCTGGGACTACAGGCATGCGTCACCATGCCCGGCTAATTTTTTCTATATATATATATTTTTTTAGTTGTCCAGATAATTTCTTTCTATTTTTTGGTAGAGACGAGGTCTTACTCTTGCTCAGGCTGGTCTAGAACTCCTGACCTTGAGCTATCCACCCGCCTCGGCCTCCCAGAGTGCTAGGATTACAGGCGTGAGCCACCGCGCCCGGCCTAGATCAAACTTTTTTAATTAGCTAAAAGAAATTCAGGATTGAAAAAAAAAATCCTATTTTTTTAAAAAAAATACTGTAAAGAACTATCTGGGATGAGTGAGGGTAAAGGGAGTATACTTAAATTATCATGGCAGCCTGATGTGGTTAAACTGGTCAAGCCATTGTTTGAATCTCGGATTGTTAACAGGAATTAAATGTTTAATGTAAAATGCCATAGCAGAAGTGAACTCCAATTATAGTGAACTGAAACGCGTTGGTCAAAACTTTTTGGTAGAAGAAACAAATTTACTCGCCATTTTATAACACTTCTTCAAAACCAATGCCTCTTTCTTACATTCTTCTTTGGCAAAGACAAATTTAATGCTAAAAGCAAATAGCCTCCACGACCAGTTTTCAGCTAGTACTTTTTCAAAAGAAAAACCAAACTGGCCAATGCAATGAATCTTAAAGACATAAATCAGGCTAGATAAATAACTATAGTGTCTATACTTACTTCAGCAAATTCCAAATCATTTTCTTCCAGGCTTGTGTTGCTCATCAAGGGAAAAGCTGCAGAAGCAGTGACCTGCAAGACCAGTATCAGTAGAAGAAACTTCATTATAGGCTTCTCCTGAATGGTTTAACTCAACTTACTCTGTTCCTTTTCAGCACAAGTTCCTTAAATGCCCCTCTTTATATAACCCTTAGGCCAGGCTCTGTAGTCTGAAATCCCATGAGTGACTCACGGTTGATATCATCCTTTTATTTATCTCAAAACCACGCAAACAAAAGCAAGACCTTATTCAACCAACAGTGGGTCAATTAGCATCTAACCCATCACTCATTTAGGTAATTCAGAGGATATTTCTTCAAAATGATAAACAAACCCCAAGTTCCACCTACTCCACAAAATAAGCCCTTGTAAAAGAAATACCAAGGGCTTAATATAGAAAGAGATCTTTAAATATATTTTTAGGAAACTTAGTATTCTCAATTTTCATTATAATACTTCCTGTGTGTTCATTATAGATGAAATCAGTTTTTTTTAAGTAAAGAAAAAAGATTAGATAAATAAAATACTTTTGTTAGAATTGATGAATGTTCTCTAAGCTGAATCTAGTTCCCCAAAGAACTGTGATGTAGAGATTTCATATTTAGCAGGGAAAAGTTCATGACATTGTGAGGCTTCGATGTTTGTTCTATGTGTTGTACAGGCTTGCATCTTGATTCTATAACTTGACATCTATGTACCTGGATAGAGAGATTCCAGAGGCAAACTTTCTCTACCTCCCAAATTGTCTAGAGTTGGCAGCATGAGGGTTAGCACTTCTCAACTTTGAGAGACAGGAAAAGTTTGCCTCTGGAATCTCTCTATCTCCCTGTCAACTCAGCTTCCCTCCTTCTTGATCTCATTGTCCAATTTCCACAGACTCTGCCTCTTAGTCAACAGAGAATGTTTAAAGACAGAAAACATTTAAGAGTCAAGGAATAGAATTCCAAAGGTAGCATAGCAAGCAGCGGTGCTGCTGTGTGAGGATGGGGTCTCCTCCACACCCCTTCCAATCACACCATGCGTTCGCTGCCTCCTGGTTCTATATGATCAGGCTGGTGGATGAGGTGGGCAGCAAATATGAGTGTGTTATGCTCTGACCCACCTCCCTGGCCTGGGAAACAGAGTCAGCTGGATGCTTGAGTGGGGCTTGAAGGAAAGGAGAAAAATATAAGAAAAAACAATTTAGTAATTTAAAAATTGTCTTGCCTCACTCTTGAGAACTGTGCAGATTCTTTCTGATTTGTTCTCCTCTTTCTAGTCGTTGATTCGTTTTCTCCCTGAGTCTGTCTAACCTACAAATACAGTTGGTCATTTCTTTGTGTGAATGTCGCTTTTTAATGATGCAAAATTCAACAGAGTTGCCTTCTGTGATCGAAATAGTGTGTCTGGAATCCAGATCTCTTGGCTTTATGTGTGTCTTCCAGAAACCTTTTTCAATCCCCTGGTGAGATGCCACATCGGACCAGGTGGAACTCGTGTCATGGATCTTCTACCAATAACTAGTGTAGAATACGGGCTACTTCACAACATGCATTCTCAGTGGGGGTCATATCATCCCCAATGGATGAAAATTGGTCATCAAGGGCAAAAAAAAATCTCTTTTAACTATAAAGACAGATATTCATACAACACATAAACAGATGTATGGTATATCTCTGATATTTTATGGGGGGAAATGTCTAAAACACCTCCTTATGGGGGGCAGTTAATAATAAGAGAAATATTGAGAGCCCGTGTTCTAGGTATTACCAAGGAAAAAGAGCCAACATTTATGGAAAGGCTTGAGCAGCTGCCAGCAGTTGCATGCATCGTCTTATTTAATCCTCACAGTAGTCATTTATGGATGAGGAAACTGAACTTAAATACCTTGCCCAAAGCCACACAGCTGGTAGGTAGCATAGCTGAGGTTTGAGGCCAAGTCTGTTTCCAAAGCCTTCCTCTTTCCCTCAAACCAGGCTGCAAAGTCAAAGTCAGTTCAGAGATACCTGAGTCATTATCTCTAGCCTCAGGTATTTACCTTGTTGTTGGAGAGCAAGAACAGGAAAATAAACTGCTCACTGACGGCACATGTGAATATGTGATCACGTTGTCTCTACCTGATGATGTACACAGTGGTGGCCCGTCACTGATTCCTGCTGGATTTTATGGCTTAGCTTACACCTGTTTGAAAGGAAACCATTTTCTGGGGGAGAAAAGAAACAAGAAAAAGGAACCATACCATCTTTACCTTCCCTATTTCCTCCCTCGGCCTCCCTTCTCTGGGCTGCACCCAGGGTGACAGTCCTGCACATTCCAGGTTTTTCACCAGCCTTCTGCAGTTTCCTCCTTGGGAAGCGTGTCTTGGGATTAAGGAGCCCTCTGCCACAATTTTGGGCTAAGCGCTAGTTTGGAAGGCAGTAGATTTGTAACCAGTTACTCTGACATTCTCTGCCTTGCAAAGGTGAGGTGACGATCATGTCCATGTAGGGTCAAGTGCCAGTTTATTCCAGAAAAAGGTGAGAGGGACTCTAATGAGCCGTCTCCATCATCAGCATCAGCTGTGTCCAGGCTATCCGTGTTTCCTTGCCGGGTGTGGATGTACTTGCGGATGAAAACAGAGTAAGAACACTGAGGAACTATGTTCTCTACACATTCCCCAAATCTGTTTTCTTTAGAAAGTTTTAAACAATTATATTTCACTTGTTATTTAGGTGAACCTTTTTCGATGTGGAAAAAGTTAGCTGGTCTAACCCAACTTTGGCATGACCAACATATGTGCACACAGAGGTGAAGGGAGAAGGTAAGGAATTGACATATACTGGGGATCTGGCACACAGCTACGTGCCTTTAATGGATTCTGTTACCAATTCTTTACAAAACCTTAATATTATCACTATTTTACAAATGAAGAAAATAAGGCATGGAAAAGTTAACTTGTCTAAGTCCACACAACTGACTAGGATGACTCGAAACATTGTGGTCCCCAGATGCTCCAGGCCAATTCCTAGGGAGCCATAGTAGCAGAAGGCACCTTGGCAGCAGAGCATTGCACAGACCAAGGCAGGAGACAGGTGCACAGAAGTTCACCCTCCAGAGAGCAGGTCAGTACTGCTGTCTTCCTGGGGAATCCAGATCCACCTGCGATAATCCCAGGACTGTCTTGTGACTCCTGGCACCCACCAGAGCAAAGTGGGTAGCATGACTTTAACTAAAAAGCTTGAGGGTATCATGGTATTATTTTTGTAGTGTTTGCAGTAATAAGATATTCACAGGGCCAGGCATGGTGGCACATGCCTATAGTCCTCGCTACTTGGGAGGCTGAGGTGGGAGGAGTGCTTGAGCTCAGAAGTTGGAGTCCAGCCTGGACAACATAGTGAGACCCCAAAAATACACACAGGGAGACAGAAATTTGAAGAATAATCAAAATGAATTGCATTGTAGCAACAAGTCAGGACAGAGTCAGGAGACCTCCCAGATGACTCTTTAAGCAATTCACTTCCCTTTTCCAGACTTCCATTTCTTCATCCATAAAAGGAGAAAGTTAACTAGCTGAAGCTTTCTTCCTCCATGAACAGACTATTGGTGTGTGACAGGGATTTCTTTGTATATGTTGGGATCATTTCTCCCTCCTGGTTTTTACTGATAACCATTCTTTGATTTGCTTCTGGATTCTTGGGGATGACACAACAAATGGCTGCAGATTATTGTACCAGGGATATACCCTGGAATGTCCCAGTGTCTGGCTAAAGAAGGAAAAAATATAATAGACCCTTAGATGCTTTTGGAAGCTTGGCGCTATCAAATCTACCTTCTAATAAGGAAACTCTTAGCAGCACAAGTTGTACCTCTCTCGAGGAACCCTGACCTCAGCTACTTTCTGCACCTTCATAAATGTGCTCTTGTTCCCACAGACCATTGCCAAGGACCCTTTGATTCCTGCTTTCCTCGGTGTGTCCCCTGGAAGCCATGTCTCTACTGGGACCCTCAGCTTCCAGTCTGGGCCTGAGTCAGAATCTTTTCTTTTGTGTGTGTGTGAGACAGAGTCTCGCTCTGTTGCCTGGGCTAGAGTGCCTTGGTGTCAGCCTAGCTCACAGAAACCTCAAACTCCCAGGCTCAAGCAATCCTCCTGCCTCAGCCACCTGAGTAGCTGGGACTACAGGCATGCGCCACCATGCCCGGCTAACTATTTTCTATGTTAAGTCACCCGGCTAATTTTTCCTATTTTTAGTAGAGACAGAGATCTTTCTTTTGCTCAGGCTGGTCTCAAACTCCTGACCTCAAGTGATCCACCCACCTCAGCCTCCCAGAGTGCTAGGATTACAGGCATGAGCCACCGTGCCCCGGCGCACAATCTTTTTGTAGCTCCTTCTACCACAGGAGAGAGGTCTGGGCAGGTAGTGGATGACCCTTCTCATCTCCCTCCCTTCTCCTGAGCTCTCTCAGACGTCTTGCATAAGAGGAAGGTCTTTGATAAAAGGAAGACAGCAGTCATTGGACCTTTAAGGTGTCCCTATTATTTAATATACTCCTTATAACAACTCTTTTGAAGTAGCTACCCTTATTATTCCAATTTTACGAATGAAGAAATTAAGTCTTAGAGATTAAAGTGATTACCCAAGGTCTTAAAATGATAGAGCTGAGATTCTAAAGCCAGTCAGCTTGACCCCGGGACCTTCACTTACGATCACTGCAGTGTCCTGTCTGCCCAAGTGGCCTCAATCTCCTCATACTTGACCCCTTTGGGGCACTAGGAGAGTCAAGGCTTAGAGAGAATTAAAATTTGGGTGTAGTATTCTATTTTTATTTCTAATGAGGACATTCTTTCACTTCTTTGTATCCTTGGCAGCTTTTCTCTTATATCTTACATCCTATGCTCTCAACCTACTTCCTGCCAATCTCCCAAGAACCAGATTCCTTCCTGCTGCAGATATGAGCAGTTATCGTTTTTGGTGAGGCTTAGGAACACACCCTCCACGTAATTACTGCTTCCCCAGGGGAAGTTCATTCCTGATGTTCTTAGGTCCTACTGCCCAACTAGAGTCATTCGCACATGTTTACTGAGCACCTACCACTTTGAGGTCATTTTA